GCTTATGATCCCCGAACTGAGTCGACGAGAACTCCGCATCAACTCTAGTCGGTCGGGCGTTTCCATGATACAATTATTATGCATCCGAAATGAGCATTCCAGGGATCTATTCCGATTCCGTCGTTGTGATTCTCTGGAACGCTCCGAACGGAACATTAGGCTCAGTGAGCGTAACGGACTCCCGCTCAGAATTGGGAGATCTCGTGGTCTGACAACGGATGATGTGACTGTCTCCGGATTGTTTTGTAAACTTCTCCAAAACTGAAGACCGTCGGCGCTCCGTTCCCGAGTAAGGAGCCGGTCGGTCGTGACCATAAGCGGCGACCATGAGAGCTGGTCCCGCGGCCGTCAAGCCCGATCCGAGAAATGTTCATGCTGTATTTTCAAATGGTTCCGCTATACTGATCCGGGAGCGTCACTTCCAGCGATGAGATGCTGGCAGACATCCTACCAGACGGCCGAAAGACAGACGTCTGGTTTCCGTTTCGGGCGCGTTCCGCAGTGGGCGTCCTCCGCGGTACCAATAAGGCGCTCCGACATTTGTGACCACTCTACGGACCGTAGATCGAAGAATTCTAGTCTCAGTGTCGGCCGAGTGACTTTGCTTGTTGAGGAGACGTCAAAGAACGAAACGCGGGCTTCCTTCGCGATAGACAGGTTGTTTTCGTGATCGCGGTCCGGAGAGGGAACATTTTGATATCTGCGGTGTGATGACTCCCTGGGTCATCCTCAAAATACTGTCTGGGCATCGGACTGAATCAAGTGGACGAGGAGCGCCAATCCAAGCCCGACACTATTATCGAATTTCCCGGAGACCGATCCATTACCCCCTTATGACGAAAGACTGAAATCAGCCATCGATCGCTTCTGCTACCGAGGTTCAACCGAAGGCGCCGCGGCGCGGCGAAACTCGCCCTGCTCCTAAAGCATCGGTCAACGCCAGGTCCTGAGTTCGTCTGAGGATTGACTCCGGTTTCCTCGGTTCGAATGCGGTCAAGGTTGAGTGAAGTTTCCGGAATCGCGGATTCGCTGCTGCCGAAACCTCGCATATCAATTCTGATGGATCTGAATAACTTTTCTCAGTAACTTTTCTGGAAGAATTCCGCAACGCGGATTCGGGCTGGCTGCGGTGAGAGACTATTTTCGAGGAGCTTCCAAGCGGCAATCGACTAATCGGAAAGCGTCGCCGATGGAGTCTAGAGCCTCGGTGATCCGTCTCGAAATTCCTCGGAAGAATTTCCATCGCCGGAAGATTAGGAAGTCGAACATGGTTCTGAGAGAGCAGCTAGCCAGCAGTCCCTGTTTTGTATAGCCTAACGTCATCAGGTTGTTTGTTGGATGGAAGGCTCTCCTGCTTCCGCCCGGTTTTGGGCCCCAGTCAGAGTTAGTAAATACAGAGATTCCCCGCATCTCACAAGCAGAACGCTGAAAGTAAACACATGTCCATCGCATGCTCGCTTCTCTCTTCTCGTGCTTTTTTCCGCCGCTGCTGGGTGGAACAATCTTCCGGGTCTGTCAAACTTCCGCAAACGATAGGGCTGGCTCGGGTGTATGGCTCTTTTCATCGGGGAATTTCAACTCCCCAGAATACCTCATCTGATCCGTTCCCCCTCTCCAACATGAGGGTCCATCCAAAGTTTCAAGAGGCGATTCTGTTCTCGAGAAGCGAACGGTCGACAGAAAACCTCAGGAATTTGCGAAGTCTGACCTGCTCGAGCGCACTAATGCAGTGGCTTCTAGTGTGGGAGCATCGATGCGCTGCTCGGGACTCCGAGGGCGATTCTCGAGCGGCGGACGGTTTTCGCCCGGCGCTTGTCCATACAGGTTTGAATGGCGGTGGTGGTCAGAAGCTTCGCTCAATGCATCGGAATGAGCGTGTGAGAGTTGGTCCCGAGGAGAGCTCGTCCCGAACCGTCGGGAGCAAGCTCTGACTCGATCTGTCCTAATTCACTATGCCAGTCTCCTATCGGGCTTGGTCGGGTGCTGACCCGTCGAGCTGTTCGGGGGCACCGAGGGAAGACTATCTCCCAATCACCAGATATCGCATGATTGGACTCAAATCGCTCGAGAGGGACGACCGTTCAACACCTCATGAACTCATGACGTAATGAACGAATCAACAAGTGGCATTCATGTAGCAAGCAGACTCGGCAGAAATTATGGTCCGTGGACGAAGCCTGGTTCGAGGAGCTCTATTGCAATCGGCAATTATTCCTCTTTGCAATCGTGGAACTTGATTTCTTACGGGAGCGCTCGTGATTTCTTCGTCGAGTGCCTGCTGCTGGTAGAAAGGTGGAATCGCTACGCGGGGCCTTCTCCCCGGGATGATCGCCGGCAGCCCATCCCGGAAATCAGCTCCGAAAGAATGACTGATTCATGATACCTTTATCTGATTTCTTTTGGAAAAACTTAGAAAACGTGTTCTGACCATGGAATAGAGTTCAGGCAATCGAGCCAGCTCCAGAGCTCTGCGGTTCTCGGAGAGCCCTCAGCTAGCGCTCGAGTTCTTGCCCCGAGCTCGATAAAACAGCTGAATTAGGACCCGCTCCGAGGGAAGAAACCGCAAAGCATGCTCGTTCTGGGGAGCCACTCCTCCCGCGAGCTCCGAGCCAATATCGAAATTTTCCGGGAACTTCGAGGATATCAGGCGACTTTCCGCAATTCTGCCGCGATTATTCTTCGCGACAAATTTTCGGCTTACCTTCGATTGGAAGACTATTATTCCTTGGAGCAAAAACCATTCCTGCGAATTATTCAACAACATGTTTGGGTGGAGAATGAGTGAGAAATAACTTGGTCACCACGGAATGGCTGAGGGAAGGCTTCAAACCCTCCGCCGAACCCGTACACGATTTTCGGTACGAGGGGGAACAGGGCGAAGACTCGAAGATGATAGAAGCCTATTCTCATAAGGGTTCCCCATCTGGAGCAGACTTCTTTCCAAATCATTTCGTGTCCGGAGGTCAGAGCTGGCTGCGAATCGCATTCAGACACGCCCTGGAGCGCTAATTAAAATGACGATCTCCGGAAACTCGCAGAATCGGGGTCCTTGACCCCCATGTCTTGTTTTGAGGATGATTCAGGGCAGACTCTACCCTCAACCCCTCAATGAGCTCATTCATCACGACTGGTCAGGCCAAGTTGATCGCAGACAAGCGCAGTGGAATCGGATTCTTGGCGCGTCTGACTGTCTACTGATCCACAACGACTTGATGAACGCGTGGGACTCGTCGCTTCCATACGTTCATTCAAGGTCTCGGGACGACAACAGGGGTTCTGAGTGGCTTTCAGTTCTTCGAAAAATCGTCATATTCCTGGAAGCTTCTAAACTGTTGCCATGAACCAATCCGCTTGTTATCCAGCGCTGGTATTCGCGGTATGCCCCTGCCCCTGCGCTGATGCCCCATCCGTTCACGAACTTCCACCAAAGAAACAGAACATGGTCACTGCCGCTTACGACGCGGAAACAAAGACAAAAGCGATTCCAGAGATGGTTAATACGTAATCGGACCTCTCGGGACGGAATTCGTCTACATTCCGATCAGATTGCTCAGGAAAAAATACGTCTCCCCGGGTGACAGATACTCGCTCCTACAAGGTCGCCCGTTCGACACTAGCCATCTTAGCGAAAATATGACGAGTAAAAATGGGTGGCCATGTTTCTTCGGACACTCGATTTATCTTTCTCGGGCTTCGGCTATTGTGGAGATACGCTTTTTTTCCGGGGCACCGTGGGTCGAACCTTGCGAATTCGTCTTCTGGAAATCCCAGATTTGTTTTGTGGAGATCCCCGATTTCTAAGCATCATCAAGAAGATTTGTCCCTTCGATATAGTAATCAGTGGACTGGATCAGGCTCTGATTCTCTGGAGAGGGTTCCGACCACCTACGAGTTCTCAGATTTAGCGTGTCACAACATTTGACGGAGCGCGAAGGCAGCTAGCGCCGATAAGCGCCGTGGAGATTTGCGGGATTTTTGCAATGCCTCACACCAAGGTTGGTGGTGCCGGGAAACTCATCTAGAGGATATTGGCCAACGGCGGGGGGAAGCATTGTCCTCGAGGCCTCGGCGGGTGTTCGAGCCCTGTCGTAAGAGGGCTACGATTCGAGCGTTCACCCGCAAACTGTGCAACTGGGATTTAGCGCGTAACTGGCCGCGCATCCACGACCACGAAGCAACAGGCCGGTTCGCTGAAGGTCGGCCACCCTCGTTGCTTTCAGCTCGCTAACGAAGGGCGGATGCTGAAAATCGTTTGAAGTCTAAATTCACATGGACACTTTATGTTCTCAATGAGCCTAAATTCACATAGACACTTTATGTCCTCAATGAGCCTAAATTCACATAGACACTTTATGTTCTCTATGAGCCTCTGACAACCGAGCTTTTGAAGATCATTCCTCGAAGTGAGAATCCACCCCCATTCTGCGGCGAGTCCGAGGGAGACGACGTGAATTTTTCGATTTCCCACTCAGCTGGGCTTTGAGTGATAGCAATGAGGTCGTCCGGAAAATAGGCCGCAGGAATAAATTCTACGAATAGATTCAAAGGTCGCCGGATGTTCTTTGACTTGTCAACAGCGTCGAGCTCGGAACGTTTCCGGAAATGACATCTTCGAAATATTCTGCATGATCTCAGATAGGCCTGACAATCTCGATTTCGCTCCCGCGCAATAGTTCAAGTCTTGCAGAGTTTTACGAAAGCGAGAAGGAGGCTCGAACGCATGTTTCGAGTTTGGTTGAAGAAACAGCTCTGGTCAGGTGGAAGGTTCGCTCCCTAGGTGAGGGATTCTCAATATGTGATCGCGACCGAAGCTGCCGGATCGGGGAAGAGATCGTAAGGAAACTTCTCGCACCGACTTGCATAATGTGCGTGATTGCGTGAAGTGACCTTCACGACGAAGTAAGTCGATCCCTAAGAAAGTGCGCCATAAAGATCCTTATAGACTGATTGCATAACACACAAGCTCTTTTGTTCGAGGACAAGCGTCGTAAGTGCATGGTATGACGAGGTACTCGTGGAATATTCGTCAAACGTACGAGTCACAAGCCGAATTCAAGTCTCAGCCGCTCTCGATTATGCAGACGTACCCGCGAGAGGCCTTGGACTCCCTCAAGGAAGAGTTTGGCGGTTCATGCCTCGCGGGAGCTTCTATGGTCGAGAATCGATATTAGTCCCGTAAATTCTGTATCGAGGTGCGAGACTGTGGAGAGCACACTCTGTAGCTCGTTGGCTGATTGTCGCAGTACTGAGCTTATTCGGCTAAGAGGAGTTCCTTTTCAATTTCAGGCGGAAAACTGATGTCCTGGAAGTTCAGTGGAGGGCATTAGAAGATCCCTTCAAGATGACGGACGCAAACATGCAGAATATAATCGCGACGTTTTTCTTCGTCGCGTACATGTTCTTGATAGTGGTAGCTATGTGCGGCGCCGTATCTGTCGTGTTCATCGTTCTGCGTTATCGGAATCTCCGATCACGTCCCATAAACTTCTATTACGTGAACATGGCGTTCGCGGATCTGTTCCTGGCCGCTCTAGGAGCTCCATTCCGAGCTGTTTATTACCTCAAAATGCAGTGGACTTTCGGCGTTCTGCTTTGCCAATGGTTCGAATACGCCGAAAGCCTGGCGTTCTTCGTTCACGTATACTCCCTCATGATGGCCTCTTTCCTGGTGCTGCAGGATGTGCTCTTCGTGCGGAGGAGCTACAGACGCACGCAGGAGGAGCGCAACACGTGTTTGCGGTCGTATGTCGTGACCTCCTTCGGTGTTTGGACCTTCGGAATCCTGGTGTGCCTGCCGTACATCACGCACCGTATTTTCAATCGCGATCAGTGTCAAATTTCGGACAGGAACTTGTTCCTCGTCCCCGAAAGGATATTCGGTCCGCTGGTTCTCATCGTGATACCGGTCTCGGTGACGATCCTCGCGATATTCTTCATTATCTGCTGTGCCTGCAGCACGAATCGAGTCGTGTCGACGTACCAAGAAAACATCCTGGTTCGGGCTCACAAATCCACTCGGCACATCTCGCTGTTCCTCCTCATCTTCATACTCTGTCAGGTTCCTTATACCGCTCTGAAGTGGTTCAAGTTGCAGGCGGACGCTCAGCATGACACGCTCGAGTTCTGTGCGGCGGGACTGCGGCTTGCGAGCGCGTGCTTCAGCGCTGCCTTCTTCTGCTATATCAGTGAAGAAAAAGTTCTCTTTAACGTGAGACACGCAATGGGAACCAAAAAAGGACCGAGTGTCAAGCCTGACAAAATACCTCTGCGCAGCGTAAGCGACACGCAATACAGGGAAGAAAACCAATCGTCCGCAGCGACGCCTGCGGCTACATCACCGGGACAGACAACAATCACAGCACCCATGGTGACGCGGCCCTCAACACTCGGGAAGAACGGAAGCGGTCAACCGAGTAGACAGGATCCCTACGCGCGCTACTCGACCATCAGAGATCAGCCAGAGACCTACGTTTAAGCCAAAGACTGATAAGCCATTCATTTTCAGATGCAATAATATAATTGATGATGAGTAAGACGTACTATTTATTTTGATGCTTCGAATGGGTTCAATGATATGAGTATGCTTGCCAACTATTCATGTTCAGGGTCACAATTTCCCGATATTCCGAACTCGAGATGCTTTCGATCTTGAGATATTCAGTTGTTCTCGCGAGTCTGTAAATTCGAAGCTTTGTACAATGATCTAGGTACGGGACCTGAGACCAAAAAGAAAAGTTTGGATGTTTGACTTGTCTCGAGAAATCTCTGACGACGGCTTTCCTCCACCCCACGTTCCGAGAGATTCTCCCAGAGAGGTGTGGGAAGGCGAAAATAATAAAAGTACTAAATATAACTGAATCTTGTGTCGTTTCCTTCTCGTCGCGACAAACTCTCGGATCAAAAGACTTTTAGGCCTTTCTCCGATAAGCTCAATCTGTGTAGAGAGAGAGCTCCATCACATCCCGTGGCTCATCCGAAGGCACTCGGTACCTCACCGAATATATACGTATCCCGAAAACGAGCAGACACGTCTCATACGCCAGCATGAAGTCTTCTCGTAAAATATTCAAATTGCCGCGTTCAGGTGTCGGAGCTGAGGAGTCCGTCCCGACTTCCCTGATGATCAGCATGATCAGCGTTCGAGATGGGAACTTGCAGGAGGGTCTTCGATGGGAATCAAGTCCTCGTGTCCAACATGAGAAATATTCCGACGAAGGACCTCCCATAAAGAGATACTGATACGCTATCAAAGTCAGGGAAGCGAGAGTTTTGCTAACGGCGCTCATACAGGGCGAGGAAATTCCTGTTGTCGATAAGTCTGAATAAAAGACAGAGCCATTCCCCCATAGTTTCAGAGCCTCGGTCAGCCGTTCCCGCTAAGCCATCCTTCTGTCTTTGATTCTCTCCTCTCGCATTTGTGGCCGGGGAACTCCTTTCCCTGGGCTGAGTCTCGGATCGGAGACTTTGGTAACGATTCGTTACTTCGGAAGGCTTGCGCTCCGAAACGGCTCAGAAAAGTTCTGGGGATGATTAGGGCCTTCTGTCTGGGGATCTTTCGGGAAACAATCGACCTCAATAATGTCGATGGAAAACGTTTTTCCGACAGAATCCAACTTTCCGTTGAGTGACGCGAGTTCGACTCTCCTCCTGGAACCCTTGTCGCGATCTTCGACGAGATGTTCTCTCTTCCCGAGCGTTTTCCGGATAATTGTCCGTCCTCGGGGAGGATAAGAAGTCGGCTGGCCTCAGGAAGGGAGAGGCGTCTCGGCTCTGCGGAACTCCCATAACGCAGGAAACACACATAGAACCCCAGTCGAGCGCTCCCTCATCGTGACTTCGCTTATGAGCAATATTCTCAAAAGATATCACATTAGAAAACTACACAATTTTATGCTCATAATAATTATCACCTTCTGTTATTATACCTGTAATTATCATTGTTATTATCATATTGGATGATTTATTCGATTTCCGGGAAGCTTCCATCGGCCCAAATATACCACATACATAGTTTCGTACCCCCCTCTTGAATCAATGGAGTCAATGGAGTTTGCGTCCTCCCGTCGGGTGGATGTCATCTGTACTGTGGAAGACCTTAGGTTCCTCCCACTGATCCTGATTCATCAATCCGATAGCAGTCTCTGGAAGGAGCTCTACTTGGAAGCTTGATGCATTCTGATTCCTGTTCTTATCCAGGCTCCAATCACCACTTTTTGCTCGTATCATGAGGGGACCAGATCCGTCGAGAGAGAGCTTCGAAATATTTTGCACAAAGCCTCACCGCCATCCCGGAGAAGCATAGATGTCATCTATCTCCCGTAGATGGAGTCTGAGGACGAGTGAGCCTGCGCAAGGAATGGAAACTAAGGGGCAGTGATGGTCGTGCATCAACCGAGACAACAAGTCGAACGCGTGAAAATATTCGGAATGTACACAATTTTATTGGTCACGACTGCTCGCTCCCGAGGCGTCTCGAGCTCATGCTCGGTGGTATGGAAGAGCAGTAGCAATATGTTTGTTCGATTTTCGAGCCTGGAATTCGCCGGGGAGGCCGTCGAATGCGCGTCGAAGTCGAATCGAGCATAAGACACCTTGATCCGAGTGCTGCATTCTTTGTCAATGTTCTTGCTGAGCCAGCGATGCGACTTTCTGCAGGGATCTTCGCGCCTACGATGACTTTGCAATTCGGAGGCATCCGAGATTACCCCTTACTTCTTGTCTTATTTGCGCCTATGGAGGCGACGACGCGACTCGATGGTAGAACAGCGTCGAGCGAACACACCGTTCCTCATCCTTGCTCCGCCGCTCCTTGAAGGATCTCGCTGGGCAAGGCAATCTTCAATTTACGTCGGTTCGGGCCGGTAATTATCTTCCCGAGAGAGGAAAGCGCTCCAATTTTCCGCCAGTTTCCATCACTTGATCCATCAACTCCTTGTTCTTCAGGGTCTTTGAGACGCCAAGAATCTCAATGGATGAACTCCGAGCAACATTTTGAGATCATTTCCGAGAAATTGAAGCCTCCGCGAGACTCAGCGTCGACCTTCAGAAGTCGACAATGCCGACACATAGGACACCAGGCTGGCGGACGATTTCGCGGAGCTGCTGTCGCTGCTCATTGCTGAAGTCTCGTTTACGGTTTCCGCATCCGGTCCTCGGAAGAACGATTCGCATTTTCACCTAGATCATGAATGCGCTCCGATTCGGCAAGGAAACCCTTGCTTGTCACAAGCTGCTGCCGGGATTCGAGAGCTCTTCGAGCGAAGGCGTCGCGAGTCAGCGAAGCATCCACTGCCTTCGCCTTGCAGCAGGTAATTGGAAAACGTCAACAAAAGAACAAATGAAAACACGTCCAATCGTAACAAATCTCGGGCGCAGGTGTGTTACCTTCCAGCGAATGCGGCTTTCGTCGACTTCGTCGTAAGGCGAAGTACATGTCGAAAAAAAACGCACCGCAGATAGACATGCCTGAGTTTTCCCCGCGGAAACGGAGCACGGAAGATATAAGGGATCTTCGGTCGTCTTGGAAGGGACTGCCTCACAGGTTTCCATCACCTTCCGTTTTCATCGGGGACGTCCATTAGCGATTTGCCGAGACCTATTCCCCCGTGAATGTTGTTGTGATGGAAATGGGAGAAATCACTTTGAGGGAAGTCGCTGTCGAATGCTCTTCATCGCAAGAATCTCGTTGTATAGACTGTCTGTTGAGTGCACCTCCTGAAGCTAATGCACCAGGAAGAGTATGATTGTTGCTTACTGCGGCGACCGTTGCGATCGCGGAGCCATCCGTATCCCTGGAGGACTCCCTGAGCCAGGAACACGAGAAGCAAAGCTCTGTGTTTCCACAGAGGGGCGGAACGCCTGTCTCTGACCATGGTTGATTCGATAATATTCCTACGAGCTCTCCGAATTCATTCTCTGATTCTGAGTGACATATATTTCGGATTATTATTTGCGAATTGCCGCTACGCGGAGATCTATCGCTGAGACTACATCCGGGCCCGGTATAGTGATCAACAGTCCAAGTGGACGAGTGGTGATCCACCATCAACACCTTGGTAGTAATCAGAAGGCGCCCTATCCTCTCGATATATCAGCTAATGAGTTGAGCTGTGTCCGCGGATACTGAGCGCAGGAGGGATCAGCTGCGGGTCAGCAAGCAGAATCGGATCCACTTGTTCCGTAAGCGAATTCCGAATTCGGACGAGCGCGGATGGCCCCCTTCTCGGCAAAAACAGGAGGATTTTTGAAAACTGTCCTCTCTCTTTCGGGAGAAGTTTTCAGAAGTTTTCAACGTTCATCGCAACCAGACGGAATCACTTCCGAAGGAAATTCCCACCCGCGGCCCGAAAGTCTCGAATCGACCGTATCTGCAGTCGGAACTCGCGATCGGGAGCGCTCTCCCACGTCCCACGTCTTAGGCCGAGTCGACTGCTATTCTTCGGCAGCTGACAATTTTCTGCTGGTCGTGGTTTCGGAGTCGATGTCCCCCCTCTGGTCATCTTGTCAGACACGCGGAGCTCATAGCCAGCAGCTCCCTCCAAGGGAATGAGTCTTATTTGCATGATTCCAGTGGAGGAATATCGCCTTCCCCGCGGTTATTGATATCCTTATCGAGCGCCTTTGAATACAATGAATAGGAGATGGCGACGAGGTCATCCCGGAACGATCCGAACATCGACAGCGGGCCTCACTGACAACAGCCTTCGTGGAACCGGGCTCCGACGGGATTCGAATCTACTGGAATTCGCATCTGGGATCTCGGAACTGGCTCGCCGCCGCCGCCGCCGCCCCGTGAGCCTCCTGGATTAGAAAGACACGGAGAACAAACCGTCGACGACGACCCTAGACCGGATTAGCCGACTGTTGGGAGCTAGAGAACAGAAATTAGGACTCCACGCATGTCCTCGGCTCTAGTCGACTAGATTCGAGGGCACGAGGGCTTTTCGAGGAGGCCGTCTGACGTTGGCGTTTCTCCCGAGTGTATTGGGAGTGTCTATGTATATTCAGTCCTCGATGAGCGAATCGGCCGTAGGCGTTCGAGCATGCCGACTCGGAGGTTGCTCCCCAAGATAGAGCAGTGTGTGACAACAACGTGCTTACGACTCGCATTACGTGCACTCCCACTGAACGAGTTTTCAGAATGAACGTGGGAATCGTTCTGGCTCATTTCAACAATGATGCTGATTCGTTATGACAGCGAGGGCAACCTGGCTCGGTGTGCGGATATAGCTGAGTCATCATCTAGTCCGCAATGTCCGCAAGTGATCAAGCTCCTGAATGACGGGCAGACTCCGCGTTATTCATGGACCCCGAGCTCATTGTCGGTATTCACATGAGCCCCGCGAAGACTGTCGTCTTCTGCTCGCTCCAGCCCGCCTGAAATCGAGTCTGGCCATCTCCATCGATCGGGACCAGGCAGCTTGCCGACCCTTCGGTTCTATCGGGATCAGGCGTCTTCGGAATGGGCCTCCAGTT